CAGAAAAACAGTATTGTATAACTGAAAACTAACTATAGAATAAAAAGTTAGATTCTTCAGTATATTAATGTGTACATTAATTAATGACTTATAAAAATGACTTACCTACCAAATTTGCTTTTTTTTTCTCCCCCTCTCAAAAGCTAAGAACTTAAAATTTAAGCTGTCACCACTTTCTAGTTGTTTTCAGAAAATAAATTCCACTCTTCCAAAGTCCATCAGTCACACGGAGAATTTACATTATATTTGATTTAATAATATTTACTTAAAGAAGACTCCTGAACTGTTTTCACATAAGCAAAATATTTCATAATGGAGAAAAGTTTGGTTGTTCCTGTTTGTCTCCAAAGGAGGCTGTACCATCAATACTTTAAAAAATCTTTTTGAAACACAATTGAGGTAAAAATAATCAGCTTTTCCAGTAGAACCAGTTCTAATCTGAAAGTCAGTGGCAGACTAAACATGGATATATATGCAGTCACTTTTCTGTCAATGTGAGTCAGAAATAAGTTGTCAAATATCAGCTTTGAGGTTAGACAACATGCACATTCTGGTCACTGCCTCCAACTTTTTTTTTTTTTTTTTAAAAGGCAGGTAAGAATGCCCACACCCACACCAGTCTTCATCTGCGAGTTTCAGTAGAATTTTTACCAAGGGCAACGACAATTGTTAAGCTTAATTTAAAATGAAGACACTCCAGTAAGCAAAAACAAAAGATTCAGAGGAAAAAAAAAAAAAAAACTACTATGTGAAGCTCTTGTTTTTGTTGTTGGCATTTTACTTTTAGGTTGATTTATAACTGATAAACAAATAACATTATTTTAAATCAGGTGGGTGGTGAAAACTTTTCAGCACAGACAAAAAAAGTATTAACACAGAAAATTCTGTTTGGTTATTTGTCCAGAGTTTGGAAAGATTTGCACTGACCCCTCCCCTCCACACACACACCTCATATATTTATTTACAGAAGTCTCTCTTTATCCACTGGAAAGACTACAGTGTATGCCAAAAAGTAAAGATACCCTGTGCATGACAGCTTATAATATACATTAAAAAAAAAAAAAAATACCCTGCATCTTGTATAGAAAGTTGAGGCTTTACATAGACTAATTTTATCCCTAAAACTCATTACCATAGAAGTGACCATTTTATGTAAAAATGATCTACCTAACTCCATAATATTATTGCTGGTACTGTAAAAGGAATTATAAAACAGAACATTGCCAGTACTTTATGATGACTAATCCTGTTGGATATTTTCACTATTGGGATTTCTTGCTTTATATTCAGCTCTGCCATTAGCTTCCTTTTCATATACAGTGTGGTTTTCTATAGAGAAAATGCTTTCATAATGTTTTTATAGCTTGTTTTTAAACATTATTTGCTTAAATATCCCAAAAATGTCTGAATACGTCATGCAAAAATGGTGGTGCATTTAATATTTCCTGCTTGTTTTTTTTTTTTTTTGATAGAGTATATACTTGATATAGTTTATAAATTAGACACAATAAAATATTCACTTTAATAAAAAGAATAGAAGAACTATAATAGTATACTGTAATTACATATAAGACTTGTTCTTGACATCGACCTTTATTTTATTTCTTTCCTTTTCATTTAAAAGAAGAACTTTATAGCCTCTCTTTAACATACCAGAATTACATGCTTCATTTCTGTTGCACTTTAGGACTATTTTAAGTAAACGGTTAACTGAAATCATGCAGAAGACTAAGAACACAAACTTTTCAGAATATGTTTAACAATAAGTAATAAATGTAAACTGTTACTCCAGGTAAATAGTTAATTTAAATAAATATATGAAATGTGTTCATGGACAAGTTTACAAATTCTGGGATTCTATGGGTGATTGAGCATTCTGGCCATCCATCATCACAAATAGACTCAACTGTCAAGCTTCACACAAAATGTGATGCAAAAATTATCCTTGGATTTGTTAGTTATTGTAAAGTTCACAAAGCCATTCCAACAGTTACCAAACTCCAGATAACATGAAGCCTATTGGCACTCAGTACCATAGTTACCAATGAAAGTTAGTGGCATGCACATTATCATTGAATGGTAAAACCATAGCATGTATAGTCCAAAATCTTTGACCTCCTTCTAAATATATATCTACATAAATCATTTAGAACACACTCAGGAATACCATCAATCATCAGTTTTTAAGATTTCTTTTTAAGTTAAACCTGGGTCAAGTCGACTGAACTGTGATTTTAAAAAAATAATCAGTAAGAAAGACCAATATAACAAGGAAATTAGTCTATAATAAAAGGCATTAGTCTGAGTGTGCATGTGGCTTAACCTCCAATATTTAGACCCTTAAAACCACACATTCTGATTTGGCATGTTTTGGAATGCAGAAATAAAGTGAAAATATTTGTAAATTATATATAACAAGTAGCATTAGGACAATATACTGATATTTTAGCATTTCCAATTTAAACTAAATCTAATTTGATTATTTTGTAAATGATCAGTAGCAAAGTTAATAAATGAATTGCAGGATATTCTATAAATATAGTATTTTTATATGAAATAAATATTTTATTAAAAAAGTAACTTTTTCAAATTTATTTTTAACAAAAAACATTAAATAGGTTTCTATTTATTTACCAACATAAACCCTATATCATTCATTCTTTTAATCTTTTCATTTTAGTTAAATATTTTTTCACTATTTAAAAGAATATTAAATTAAATAAAATGATTACTTGTATAAAGGGCTTTTTTGTGGAAAAATATTTGTAATTTGAAAACAAATTACAATAGGCAATATTTTTTTCTTAAAAAAAAAAACAAATTTCCACTTTTTATCCATTGAAAATATTAAGCATAAAAAATCTTTAAGATAATGAAAAGTTATTGTTTTAAAATGAAAAAAACAAAAGGATTTAATTTACAAATATCTTATATAAAATGTACAGAAATAAAAGCCCTCATTGAAACCTGTTGAATCCAAATAGATATGGTTTTAAGCATCTACATATTGTAGCTTTTGAGAGTTTAACTGTTCTAAATCTTGTGTATCTTGTTTAATGATTCTTTTCTTTATATACTTATTTATTATGAAATGGACAAAGTCCGACAATTATTTTTAAGACATTTTTATGTTTATACATTCTTTTTATAGATACAAGCATTTAAGTAAATGCTCTGTTTATAATAAACAGTTATTAAACAACATTTACCAGCCTGAATGTCTGAGAAATGTACATAGAAAATATTGGAACCATCATTTAGCCTGACGCGCTCTTAACTGATCGAACCACAGAATTGTTCGATTAACAAGGTCAAATTTACTGCCTTTAAACTTCAATCTTCCATGTTTCTCTCATGTACATTCATATCTGCCAGTAAATGTTGTTTAATACTGTTTATTATAAACAGAGCATTTACTTAAATATTTGTATCTATAAAAAGAATGCATAAACTTAAAAATGTCTTAAAAATACTTATTTATACAGTCACAAAAAAATTAAATCATGAATATTGTTATGACATTGGGTTTAAATATTATTTACTATTCATCATATATTTAGTGATATATGCATTACAAAGTTGATATAATACATGGGCAAAGCCAAGTAGCCCAGCTATTCTACAATAAGAGAAAGGGACAGAATGTAGAGAGAAATAAAAAACAAAAAAAAATAAGTGTATAGATGAAGTGATTAGCAGAAAGAAGTCAGGTGGGAAGAAACCAATGTTTCAGATATGAAGGACATGTGAAAGAAAAAATAGGATATGTTAATTAATAGTTATTACTTATATAACTGGAAATAGTTGTAATCTGTTCACATGTGTTTTGTGTGTTTATTTTAGAGCCTGAAAGGGATGTTTTGAGAAAACAAATCTCAATACAACTCATTAAAGGACTGGCAAAATGAAATAAACTTAAGGTCACTGTATCTTCAGATCTAGTTAAAAAGTGAGCTCAAGGCAGGCAGACTTTTCTCACCTGGAAGATCTTCCTAAAGTATCTGAAACTGATCTTGTATCAGACTAATCAAAGTGAGAAAAATAAATAATCATAACAGAATTTCAATAACAAATGGCTGAAATAATTTCTAGCATGAAAACTTATTTTTATGCAAATTTTTTTTTTTTTTTGTAATATCAAATTATAAAGAAAATGTTCTCCAGCCAAATTTGTCTAAATATTTGGGTTTATAATTTTTATCTATATGGAGTGTTAGCCAAATTTTGGAGAACTTGATATTTTTAAACACTCTAAACTTTGGGGTAATGACTTGTACTAAAATTAGCATCTGTGAGATGTATGAAAGATCCATGTTGAGTATTTGTTTTATTTTTTCTTTATTCATTTAAATAAATAAAAAAAAAAAAAAAATGTGGTCAGAAATAGTTATTCCCTGTCTATATCTATAAATGCTCAATATTGGAGATGAAGCACTTTGTCCATACTTTATATTCAGAGGAGAAAATGATGAACACTGATGACCACTTATTGTGTCTGCATTGTGATGCCTTATTTACTCACTTTGGTCACTGGTTACAGATCATGATGGTTTATCAAAAAGGTTCATTTTTTTTTTTTTTTTTATACTGCTTATTAAACTTATTCAGATGTGAATATTTTTGGTTTAACAAAAACACTGTATTGGCTTCACATCCTGTTGAAAGTAAGCTCTACTCTCATGGAATGTTAATCTTTGGTAGCTATGGCCACTTTAGGCTCTATGAATAATTCCATACTCAGTAGATCTTAAAGGTTAGAGTCTAACTTCAGGTTAAGTACTCTGCATCTGGTCTGGAACAATTGTCGTCTAGGCAATGGTAAACTGCTGATATATTATACCTATAGCTTACTGTCACTGGACAGGATCTTAAACTGAAGCATGACACTTTATTCTGAAGTCAGTTTTAATAGGCTTTAATGCTTATCAACACTCCAATATTCTAAGCATCAGGTTAGTACTAGCATAAAAAAAAAAAAAATTTAAATAGTTATTACTTACCGGTGTAAATGTAAGTTTTGTCTGCAAATTAAAAAGAAATCATAACAAAAAGCATTTTAGTTTAGCTGATGACATGCACGAACACAATTTTTGAATTTGCAGCCAAAAATGATCAACAAGCAGGAATAAAAAAAAAAAAAATAAATGGAAATGCTTTTTACAATTTTAAAAATATTTTAAAAATGAATGAATTATGTGATTTTTCTCTACTTCTCTATTTTTAAGAATTCAAATATTACTTATGCTATTATACATTGTATTCATAACAACCAAAATATTGACAAGTCCAAATAAATCAATGTTTTGAACACTTGAAGAAGGTCAAAAAGTAAAGAGTTGGTAAAATCTTGAAAATTTTAAACTGAACCCTTTATATAGTGATTGTTTATTCTTATGACAGACAAATTAACTGATATGCAATATCTCTTAGTCATGCCATTTTTTGCTTTTTCCACTAAACCAGTGTAAATGACTCATTGCCTGATTCAAGTAGAGAACTCCCTATCAGCAGGTAAGCCAATCAATGTTTTTATCTACTAGGTCATCATTTTAGCAGATAAAAAATATAGCATCACAAGGAAACATTGACTAGCATATTTATTCATTAGCTATATTCTTATCATCCAGTATGGATGGCAGAATGAGAATAATTTATCCTCATTGATTGACTATTTGGTTTGAAATTCCCAGAAACTTCCTGAATATAATCAACTTCTGGGAACAATGTCAAAAGTTATAACCAGAACCAAGAGTAAAACCTGAATTTAAATCAAAATATAATTATTCCTCCTTTTTGGAAATTCAAGCACAGTTTTTCTATCTTAACTTTTTTCTGTATTTTTACTATTCACAAGATCTGTATACTATTATATGGAATGACTTGCTCTGCATTATAAAATTAGACTACCTCTGTCCTATAATAGTAATTATTGGATTTTTAAATAAATTATAATTAAATCTCAATGTGTATATAAGCGTACCCGTAAATATGTCTACAGATGTTTGTGTGAAGACACTCTTGATTGTCTTATACCATTTTGTGTAACTTAGCATTTTAAAACTTAATCACTTGTTCCATTTGTGTGTTGCCTAACAATAGCATAAAGAATTTAATCAGAAAAAAAAACATCAGATTGGATATTGCATTCACTTCACTTTGAGAAAGGCGGAAATCCACTTCTCACCAAGGAAGTTGGAAACCCTTTGGAGTTCATTTGCATTGTGAAGTAATCCATCTTGGACATTTGGTAATAGGTCAAGTCCAGACTAATTGCTTGCTGCTGGTATCATTTCACTTAGTCATATGTTTACTTGGTAATCAATGCCCATCTCCTTTCTAAGGGGAAATTACTTGGCATTGCACACCCCATCAATTTATGAGAAAACTTAAAAAAAAAAAAAAAATCATTGTTTTGTCACTCTCTCTAGAAATGTTTACAGTATTAATTATTATTCTTTTCCCACTCCCCACCCAGCTTTCATTGTTATTACAACAATGTGACTATTCTTCTGAGAGAAGCCACAGACAGACTGAGTGGATAGTCTTTTTTTATTAGTACAAAGTAAAAAAAAATATTTGTAGCTATTTAAACTGGTTTTGAACTTTATACTCTTTAGAATCAGATATTCCATTATCTATACAAAAATGTTAGATGCTTGGAAAACTGGGCAGTTACACGGATGAACAAAACTGTAGAATGGAATGGTTAAAATGTTGTGATAGCAACCAATTCTAGGAATTATAATGACTTTATAAAATTACAGAAGATATTCAAATTCTTCTCATATTTTCTGATTATTGTCTAAAGGCTGCTCTCTTTAAATTTAGATTTTATTGCAAAAAAGCAATTCAACATTTACTTTTTTTACCATAAAGCATAAATCACACCGCAAAAAATTGGTGGGGAAATACCAAACCCAACAAGACACATACGCATTTAAAGAAACAAGCAATTCTGGAAAAAAAAAAAAAAAAAAACAAATCTGCTACAAAAAGATAAGCAGGAAGAAGGAGTAAATACCTTAAGTTGACAATGAAGAAAAACTATGAAGATGAAAGTTGTTGTCTTGGTGTAGAGGCAAATCGATGGCTAAATTATACACAAAATGCTTCTTTTAAAATCAAACTTTGCAATAAAATTTATCTAAATTTGCTTTAAAAATTATGTAAAAGTATTAGGGATAAATAATCACTGGCTTTTGAGGCAAGTGTCTTAATAAATGAAAGCCTGCTTGTAGTATCTGATCGTTTTCAATAATCACATGAGAAGCCTTTATAAGCTAATTTCTCTTATTTTCCCATACTTAAGAATTTATGATAAACATCTTTCCTTCTTTTTTTTTTTTCTTAACCTTTGAATTTGTTTCTGTCCTATAGAATATATTTATAAAGCTAAATTTGAAAAAATGGCTTTACATTAGACACATATCAGGTTACCAAAAGACAATGTAGGCATTGGTTTTGGTTGACCTAACAATCTATAAATATAGATTTGATCTAGCAATAAATAAATCGCCATTTACAAGATAAATAAGACACTTATTTTCTGATTACATAAAGTAAATTATTCCTAACTATTTGAAAAAAATAACTTGGAGTTTTGCTAATTTCATATAAAGTTAATTATTTTACAAAACCATTTAATGTAATTTAAAAGAAATAAAACAAAATACATTTCTGACTAGTTTTTCTAAACCTAGTTCTACAAAGATATGGGTCAAAGTCAGTTGCCAATTCCAGGATTCCTTAAATACCAAAATCACTTTGCCATCCAAGGCAAGAGAGTTCAGTCTGCATTGTTAATTAACCCATAGCTGAAGATAGTATAACACTTCATTCTGCTTTGTTCAATTTGAAGTAACAATCTATCTACACAACTAATATATATATATATATATATTAGAGAGACACACACTATTACTACCAGCCTTGGGTATAAAAATATGATTTATAATTTTTTTAAAAATAAATAAAGCTGAACAGCTTTTTTTTTTTTTTTGTTTTTTTTCTTTAAATTATAACTCTATATTTACAAGATATTTTCATGAGAACTTACAAAATAATAGATAATCATAATTATTTATAAAGCATTGAAATATTTTCTAACTAAAAGATAAAATTTTAATGAGTACTTTGATGTTGATGAAATATTTCTTTTTGTATAAGAATGAATCACTAATAGATGAAGCAAATATATTTTATGAAATGCTTAATATTATTTAGCTATGGAAACATTTTGATAAAATTTTACTTAACTTTATTTTAATGAATTTAAAAAAATTCTATTGTTTTATTTATAGCAAATGCCAAAGTTCAATTTAAATATTTTGGCAAGTAAAATATGACCTTCAGATATTTATAAACATTTGTAATATGCAAGCCTGAAAAAAATGTACTAGAAATACATTTGTGGATAAAACAATGTTATTGTAATTGAATTTTGTACTTTGAATTAGCTTTTCCTGTATTTCAAAAATAAAAAATGGTGGTCCATAAAATTTACTTCTAATACAGTTTTTCTAAGAATTTTTTTTCTTTCAATTGTTACAGTATTAGGTGTTTACTAGTTTTGAAAGTGTAGAAAATGATATTGTAGAAAATATTGAAAAAAAATTTCAAATTTTAATATTGTTCCTGGATTAGGATAATAAGATAAAACTATCAATTTTATGGTTTTATTTAAAAAAGAAATAAATAAAATAAAAATGGAAATTAAAGTGAAAAATATTTTCAAATTGATATAGAACATTTTTCTTTTAATACAAAATTATACTGACCAGTTCTTTTAATATAAAACAAGTGAGTAAAAAAAGAAATAACATGAAAAAAAAAAAGATGGTCAGCATTTTATCTGTTTTACTCTTGTTACAAACATTTGTAGAAATTATAGGATTTTCAATATTGATGTTTCTTTAACTGTGTGCACTAAGGCAAGTGAATCACTTGGAAAAGTTAGTCTTACTTAGTTACATTTTTCAATGACAGATGAAGAATGTGGAATAATTTTGGGAATAAAACTAAATCAGTATGAGAATATTTTTGAGCTTGCTTGTTGCCAGTCCTTGTTAAAATGGAGTTTGCTACTATTGCTGTGAAAATTAAATTTCACAGCAATAGTATCAATCCTCAAATTAACCAATTTATTCATGAGTTTAAGTTGTACATCATTTAAAAATATAGCCTTAAGAATTTTGGTAACACCTTTGGATAATTTCTCTAAAATGTTAATGAAATAATAGTTGGTAAAGGTTATATATAGTATACAAAGTTTTTGTTAAATACTTTTACTCACATATTTGATATAAAATATCTAGTTAGAAAAATAAAACATTTAAAAAAACAAAATAAAAAAAAGTGGAAACATGCTTAAAACTTTAGAAATACATCACTTATTTTTACCAAAATATAGATTGAGTGATTGATTTATTTTTTTATAGCTTATCTAAAGCAAAAAACATTTTGGATTGTAAGAATATTTGTTGATTCTATTTTTTTAGTTTTTTTTTTTTTTTTTTTTTTGTGAATATTTCATTAACATTTTTTTAAAATAATGATTTTCCAGATACAGGTTTTACTATTTAACCCATAGCTGGAGGAGATAGATTCATATTTTTCCCAAGGTTATTTGTGCATAAGTGAAAGTAAGAAATCCACTATCCATTACACCACCCACCAATTTACTACAAAAATATGAAATTGGACATTTTTAACTATACTAAGAATTTCTACAGAGTGGAATACTGCAAAAGACAATGTATTGTAATAGATTCATAGTTATAGTCATTTTGCTATCAAATTTATTGTTGGTAATTCTAACAATAAATGTATATTTAGTTTCTGGCATGAATTAACCCATAGGTGTTGATATGCTGCTAAACAAAATCAGATCAATCTGCAAAAGAAAACTAAACAAAAAACAAGGCAACAGAACAAAAAAACCTCTATGAAAGATCAAATTTCTGCTTAAGACTTTATTAAATTAATAATATATGTTAAAGGTTGAATAGAGCACTTAATGTGA